AATATGGCAACAAAGAAGTGGACAATAGTCTGAATAATGTAAATAGTGTACATAATACCTCATCTCTGAAATATAGACAGATACTGAAGGATCGGATGAATATGGCAACAAAGATGAGGACAATAGTCCGAATAATGTAAATAGTGTACATAATACCTCATCTCAAAATATATACAGATACTGAAGGATCGGATAATATGGCAACAAAGATTCCGAATAATGTAAATAGTGTACATAATACCTCATCTCAGAAATATAGACAGATACTGAAGGATCGGATGAATATGGCAACAAAAGATGAGGACAATACAATAATGTAAATAGTACATAATACCTCATCTCAGAAATATAGACAGATACTGAAGGATCGGATAAATATGGCACAAAGATGAGGACAATAGTCCGAATAATGTAAATAGTGTACATAATACCTCATCTCAGAAATATAGACAGATACTGAAGGATCGGATAAATATGGCGACAAAGATGATATGAATAATCAATTGTTGTAAAATACCTCATCTCAAAATATATACAGATACTGAAGGATCGGATAAATATAAAAAGATGTGGACACTAGTCCGAAAACGTAAATAGTGTACCATCTCAGAAATATATACAGATACTGAAGGATCGGATAAATATGGCAACAAAAGATGAGGACACTAGTCCGAATAACGTAAAATAGTGTACATAATACCTCATCTCAGAAATATAGACAGATACTGAAGGATCGGATAAATATGGCAACAAAGTTGAGGACAATAGTCCGAATAATGTAAATAGTGTACATAATAGTTCATCTCAGAAATACAGACAGATATCTTCAAAAATAAATTAGAGTCTGCAGGAATTTCCATGTCAATAAATAAATTTTTGATCACTATATCTGGGTAATTAGCTTCGATTATTGTTCTTTCTGTGTGTCATCTAACGTCCCATAATTTTTTTAAACCTCCTATATCTTTAATTGGATTTGCCCGGTGTTCATAGTAATTTCTTACCGTTTCCTTCCTGTAAAAGTTACACATTTTCCGGTGCAAATATTGGCTCAATCTGTCATGCTAAGTTTTATATTAGATGGATGCTAATACCATGCAACCTGATGCAAGATGGTCATTTTTTTATATTTGTCACAGAGTCTGCATGTTAGTTCAACACAACTTCTCAATATCTTTGCTTGGTAATTTTTAATTAACGAGCATTGGTGCAGCAAGAATAAAACCTTCAATTTCTAATTTTAATCCTGCAATATGTGATCACTGATCTGTATGGGTTTTGTCTACATCACATTGTTTCGTACAGGCAGAGGATTGACCATAAAGACGTTTCTTTTGTCATAATTTCTGAATATGGGCCATTGACTTTGCTTTTAGCTTCTTTTTTAAATTCTTTGTCGCTGCAGAAGTTGTATTATGGTGTTGTGTTGAAGATGAGAAATTATACTGATTTGCAGTTTGCCTTCGATGAGTCAAAACAGCTTTGAGGATATATATATATATATAATTATATATATATATATATATATATATGTATGTATTTAGGAATAAAAAATGACAATAGGAAAACTTTGCTGAAATGTGGACTTTATCAAAGCAAAATACGCAAAAAAATTTGATAAAGTCCATATTGGACGAAACGCGTCAGAAATTACCAGTTTTCCTATTGTCACCAATTTAAATTTAGAAATTTTACACACACACACACACACACACACACACACACACACACACACACACACACACACACACACACACATATATACATATAATATTTATTCAAAAATTATAACATAAATATGTTATAAAATCACTAAAATATCCATTTTCTGGTGTCTTATCAAATGATGTTGAATGTTAAAAGGATTTTAAAAAGTTCAAATCAATCAAACACCCCTCGCTATGTTACGTAAGCTGGAATGACCAATCAAAATATATATACAATGAACTATATATATATTTAATGCTTTAATAGGTTATAAAATATTATTCTAACTAATAAATATTAAATTATACTGTAAAATTAAAAATAAAATTACCAATTTTAAATTTAATCTATATATTTAAAATTATAAAATTATTTAAAGAAGAAACTGAAGAAATTAATTTAAAAAAAAATTTATTCTACATTCAACACCATCACTAGTATATATATATATATATATATATATATATATATATATATATGTATGTAAAAGAAGAAATGAAATGCTTCACTCAAGAAATTTTTATTTTACAATGTCTTTGTTGATGTGAAAGGTATGAATCAGTTTCTTCTCCCCAGAGATATGGGAGGGTAAATAGCAGGACAGACAGTGTTCTATAGCCTTGGGTGGTAACAAAAAAGAAAGAGCAAAGCACATACTATGCAGCTAAGGAAAGGTAACTGCATAATAACAATAAGTCGCACAAAAGAAAAACAAAACAAATTTCATTTGGTTGGTTTTCAACAAAGAACTATTATCAAAAGTAATATATATATATATATATATATATATATATATATATAAAAGTGAACCTAGAAGTCAACACTTAGAGGTGACAGTGTGTTTCATGCAAGATGCAGTCGTCAGGCCACGAGTGCTCTTATTTTACTCCTAACAGAATAACAGCAATCGTGGCTAGCATGAAACAGACTGTAGCCTCTAAATGTTGACTTCTATGTTCACTTTTATATTTACACACGCTCTATCTCTGATATTGAGCAGTTTATCCCATAAATATAGCACATCTTAAGACTATATTTCTTCAATAGTAATTTGTTTGCCTGACGATCACAAACATCGTAAAACACAGGGTCACAAACTCACATCACTCCAAACAAATATGTTAGCTTTATCTCTGATATTGAGCGCTTTCCAATAAGTACCGCGCATATAAATAATATATTTTAAAAATTTTATATATATATATATATTTAAAAAAAATATAAACTGGAAACAACAGACAACAGTTTTATAAATGAGGATCACGTCATTCTATGGATTAACAGTATTTTAATGCATACATTATACACTACTAGCGATGGATGTCGCCAATAATACCATTAATATTGCTGATTGATTCTATGTGTGATTATTTCTTTGTATATAAATTATATGCTGCCTAATGTTTTATGTTTATATATTTATATACACATACATTTCACACACACACACACGCACACACACACACACATATATATAAATATATATATATATATATATATATTATAATAATGAAAGTGGAGTCCTTAGAAATCCATTAGTAATAATTTATTTCCTGGAATCAGATGCCCATTTCTTCAAATCCCAAAATTTTACAACAGTAAATGGATTTTAAATTTATCCAGGCACAAGTAAAATCTATGAATATGGTCCTTTGAATTTGCTTTTAGCTTCTTTTTTTAGCTCCATTGCCGATGCAGTCGGTGTCTCATGGTTTCTTTGAATTTATTAACACACTTGAAATTCACTTTTGAATTTGTTGGCTTCATTTATTACAGAATAATTTTTTTTTTATTTATTTCTTTTATCATCTTTAATGCAGGACATAATCCAGTCTTCTGTTGCTATCTTTGAAGACTATTGTCATTCTGTAAGACAATTCTATTTACATCAACTTACATGCTAGTACACTTAATAAAATGATGTATCCATTCCTTCTCCTCCCAGCTATGGGTAAATAGCAGAAAAGACAGGGTTTTATAGCCTTGGGTGGCAACAAAAAAGAGAAACTCTGAATTCAAAACTCTATATAGCCCTGGCAAAGCACATACTATGCAGCTAAGGAAAGGATTGTCCACAATGGCACGATGATCCTGACTACGATCGATTCCTTAACAGACTGTGTTCTCTAGCCTTCATGGCCAGCTGGTCTAGGAAACGAAAAGCTCTATGAAACTAATACTATGCAGCTAAGTAAAAGATCGTTTGTATTGAGTCAATGATCCAAATTATGTTTGACTTGTTATTGTCATTATTCATGTGCATCAAAAATCATTTTCATTAACACTGGTCATGTACAGTAACTGCATAATAGCAATAAGTAGCATAAAAGAAAAATTTCATTTCTCACTGGTAAGTTTTCAACAAAGGACTAACATCAAAAGTTGAAGAAATATATATATATATATATATATATATATATATATATATGTATATATATATATAGTTTAATCAATTCACCCCAAGTAAGGTGATAATGCCACTAAGATGCAAAAAGCTTCTAGAAGTGAAAGAGAATGAGAGGACTTTAGAAGTAACTGGAAGCCTAACCCCTGCTCAAAAGACACAGGAGTTGTGCGGATCAGATGATTGGTGAACCTATCTACTATTGAGGAACAAAAAAACAAATAAATAGTAAAGAAGATTTTGACCTTGTTGAACTAATCCTCATCCTCCTTCAGATCTGGACAAATACAGACGATCAACATCATCATTAGGATGATACATGTGGTGGCAAATGAGAAGACTCCTCATTGTGACATCAGTTCATTTAATGTCAGCTATGGTCCAGTGAAGAATGTTGAGACTGTATTGCACGACAGGACAGTCAAAAGTTTTAGGGCTGTTATTTTGTTTTATGAATTCAAATTGGCAAGTCCTATTCTAATAGATATTTTCTTGCACTTCTTAACTGTGGATCTCCCTTCCGATTTCTTAAATACAAGACCAGTCACCGTCTTCCTGAAACCTGTTCTTTTATTGTCCTTTCTCCTCACTAAAGTCTTCTCATTCTCTTTCATTCCCAGTAACCCCTTGCATCTTAGTGGCATTATCACCATCTTCTGTCTTCCTGAAACCTGTTCTTTTATTGTCCTTTCTCCTAACTAAAGTCTTCTCATTCTCTTTCACTCCCAGTAACCCCTTTCATCTTAGTGGCATTATCACCATCTTCTGTCTTCCTGAAACCTGTTCTTTTATTGTCCTTTCTCCTCGGTAAAGTCTTCTCATTTTCTTTCACTCCCCGTAACCCCTTGCGTCTTAATGGCATTATCGCCATCTTCTGTTTTTCTGAAACATGAAATAGATAGATATGAACATAGATAGATAGATCTAAAGAGACATTAGCTGTTTCCTTATAAAGAAACATTCGGCATTCATTACCCAGCCATCAATACTGCTGTCAGCTACAATTTATAAAAACTTTCTCTTAAAATAATTTTCCAGAAAAATAGGTTTCTTAAGTTCAGTAGCTGTTATCACTCTTTCCAGTATTAATGAAGGTTTCTGTCCTTTTATTTGAAGTGGGGCAGAATGTTAACATCTTGAAAACGAGAAAGGTCAGATGAGATAGGAATAGATAGATATGAACATAGATAGATAGATAGATAGATAGATAGATAGATAGATAGATACGAACAGACTCAGATAGATAGATAGATAGATAGATAGATAGATAGATATTTAACAGACTGAGATAGATATTTAACAGACTAGATAGATAGATAGATAGATAGATAGATAGATAGATACAGATCAGATAGATAGATAGATAGATGAATACGAACAGACTCAGATAGATACGATAGACTTAGATAGATAGATAGATAGATACTCAGATAGATTAGATACGATACGACAGACAGATAGATAGATAGATAGATAGATAGATGGATTATAGATTAGATAGATACGAAAAGACTCAGATAGATAGATAGATAGATAGATAGATAGATAGATAGATAGATATCAACATAGATAGATAGATAGATAGGTAGATAGATAGATAGATAGATACGAAGAGACTCAGATAGATAGATAGATAGATTAGATAGATAGATAGATAGATAGATAGATAGATATCAACATAGATAGATAGATAGATTAGATAGATAGATATCAACATAGATAGATAGATAGATAGATACGAAGAGACTCAGATAGATAGATAGATAGATAGATAGATAGATAGATTAGATAGATAGATAGATAGATAGATAGTCTGCCAGTATTAATAATTTATAAATTTTTTCTCTTAAAACAATTTTTCAGAAAAATAGGTTTCTCAAGTTTAGTAGATCTTATCCCTCTTTCCATTATTAATGGGAGTTTCTTTCCTAACCTTTTGTTTGAAGTAGTGTGGAAAGTCATCATTTTGTTTATGTTACTATTTTCCCTTCTCAAGCCCAGTAGCTGTTATCAGTCTTTCCTATATTAATGGGAGTTTCCTTCCTAACCTTTTATTTGAAGTAGTTAGGAATATCAACATCTTGATTTATGGTGCTGCTCATATATTCCCGTCCTGGAGATGATGAACTTTGGGATTTTGTGTTTTAGGTCAAAATAAAATCCCAGCCAAAATTTCAAATGCTGATTTTCTAAGAAGGCACAATTCCTCCATGTGAAATGTAGGCCGACCTTGAAGTTGCATTTCTGACCTTTTGGTTTTATTCTATACTAAAGTAGGCTTATTAGATATCTATCGGTTCACTTCATAGAGGTTTAAATAAATAGGATTTACGAAAGAAAAACTGTGGCTAAATAGACTGCAATTTGAAAAAAAAACCAAAAAAAAAAACAAAAAACAAACCAAACGGTATTTTATTTATTGATTTTTTCATTTCATTTTGCCAATTAATGCAGCTGAATACGTACGGTATGTGGAAGACTAAAAAAAATAAAAAGAGAGATGGGAGGTTAAATTTTCAGAAGGAAACTTAATTTTGGTTTATTTTCCTCAAAGCATTTTGTTTCTTTCTTCTCATTTGAAATTTGCGAAAAGAAACTTTATTCGGTTTATTTTATTTCTTATTTTCTCGACTTTCTTCTTTGGTTTTTGAATTTAAAATAAGGAAAAAAGTTCTTTTTCCTTATTTTATTTTGATTTTCTTGATAGCATTTTGCTTACATGTTTGTTTTTGAATTTAAGAAAGGAAACAGTTTCTTGATATTGACTTTCAAATTTAGAAAAAGAAGATTAATTTTTATTTATTTATTTTTAACTCTTAGATTAAAGAACGAAAATGTTATTTTTATTCATATTTTTCAAAACTTTTGTTTCTTTTTTATTAATTTCTCCGGTTTTGCGAGAATTAAAAAAAAATTATTTTTAAATTTGTATCACACCATGTAAGGCAATAAAGCCACTAAGACTCCAGGGGTTACATGATGTGGAAGAATTAGGGACAGAAACATGATGAGCAGAAAAAAGAGTAATCAAGAAAACAGCAGATAGCCGCTGACATTGAATTTAAATTTTTGCCGATTAATTTTGGCTGGAAGGCATGAATCCAGAATGAAGTTCAACAAGCGAGAAGTGCGAGAAAAGAAACAGCATAGAAGTTACAGCTACATCTAGTCAGATCAACTTTAAATTGATGAGATCTAGATGCCAGTTTAATACCGTGTTTAAATTCAAAATGTCTAGCTATTGTAATGAAGAGCTCATCCGAACAACTAACATGAAAGAAAGTATTTATAGAAAAGACACAAGAGAGGGCAACCTTTTGGCGGTGGGAAAGTGACTGAAGCCGAGCAGCCAGATCAGGACCAATAATATTGCTGATTCTTCTTTGGATTTTATGAAAGAGCTCAAGGTAAATAGCAAGGGCACTGGACCATATATGGCAGCAATATTCTAAGCATGGACGAATGCTAGGCTTATAGATATGCAAAATAGATTGGTAAATTTGCTTTTTAAGCCCCGCGCTAAATACCTATTAAAATTTTCCTAAATCGTCATATTTCCGTGTAAATGTACATGGTGAACTCGAAATAACAATTAAATTTTTCATAAAATCTATCGTTTTAGAGTTATCGACAATAAAAGATCGAACTCAGTAGCATTCAGCTGTTGGCCATTACTGGCCTTGTTTAACTGCATTCACTGCGGAACATTTTGCGCGCAGAAGCTTAATTAACAGCCTTTTTACCGCTTTTAACTGATCGTACTCGTCTAAATTAATGCGCACTTACGTTGTGTTGGAAAGCGATGACAAGTGTTTTTTTTTATAGTATACCCCTTTTTCTGTGTAGAAAAGCAATGGGAATTGTCGTAAAGCTTTTATTTTAAATTAAAAATAAAACAAACAATAATTAATGAGCAAACTTTGTAAAGAGCCTGAATATTTACAAAATAAAATTACAAAAAAAAAAAAAAATATATTAGAAAGGAAATAATAATTAATGACCAAAGTTCCTACATTAATTATTTCGTTTCCAACATTTCTTTTTTATTTTGTAACTTTATTTTGTAGATAATCATGCACTTTACAAAGTTCGCGTGAACTTTGTAAAGAACATGATTATCTACAAAATAAAATTACAAAATAAAAATAAAAAAAATGCTAGAAACGAAATAATAATTAATGCGCAAACATTGTAAAGTGCATGATTTTTTATTTACAAAATTTAAAATGTTAGGAAGCGGCATTTCTTTTTATTTTGTAAATAATCATGCTCTTTTCAAAGTTTGTGCAAACTTTGCGTATAAATTATTATTTGTTTTAGTTTTAATTTAAAATAAAAGCTTTATTTTATTATTTAATTTGTTTTTTTTTAATTTAAAAAGAAAGCTTTACTATAAAAAAAAACAACAGTTGAAAAAAAAACAACAGTTGAAAAAAAAAACACTTGTTATCATTTTCCGACATAACCTAAGTGCGCAGTAATTTAGACGAGTAAGATCAGTTAAGAGCAGTAAAAAGGCTGTTAATTAAGCTTCCGCGCGCAAAATGTTGTGCAGTGAATGTAGTTAAAGGAAGCCAGTAATGACCAACGGCTAAAAGCGACTGAGTTCGAACTTTTATTGTCGATAACTCTAAAATAGTAGATTATATCAAAATTTAATTGTCATGTACATTTACATGGAAATATGACGATGTGGGAAAATTTTAATGGGTATTTAGCGAAGGGCTTAAAAAGCAAATTTACTGATAGATTCTGGAGAGATAAATTGTTTCACCCAACACAGTGAACCAACTTTCTTAGCAGCTGACCTAGCATTTGATATAATATAGACTTTCCACTTCATGTCAGCAGAAAACATTAGCCCTAGAAGGCGCAATGAGTCGCTTTCAGGGGGGTTATGAAAAAAGAATAGAGTTCGTGTCCTGTTGGCAAACGTTTTCTTAATTATATGTCTATATTTCTGAGATGAGATATTATGTACATTATTTACATTATTCAGACTATTGTTCTCATCTTTGTCACCATATTTATCCGATCCTTCAGTATCTATTTATATTTCTGAGATGAGGTATTATGTACACCATTTACATTATTTGGACTATTATCCTCATCTTTGTTGCCATATTTATCTGATCCTTCAGTATCTGTCTATATTTCTGAGATGAGGTATTATGTACACTATTTACATTATACGGACTATTGTCCTCATCTTTGTTGCCATATTTATCCGATCCTTCAGTATCTCTCTATATTTCTGAGATGAGGTATTATGTACACCATTTACATTATTCGCACTATTGTCCTCATCTTTGTAGCGAAATTCATCCGATCCTTCAGTATCTGTCTATATTTCTGAGATGAGGTATTATGTACACTATTTACATTATTCGGACTATTGTTCTCATCTTTGTTGCCATATTTATTACAATGTTTCGGATGCTGTACACTCCGGCCTTCTTCAGGTGGTTGGAATGTCGAACTGAATGTTCTATCTATCTATCTATCTATCTATCTATCTATCTATCTATCTATCTGTTAATTCCCCTCTCCAAGTTCTCCACTGCCTGAACTGGGTATTGAACTCACACTCTTTGGGTCCTGTCACTGGATCTAACTAACGCCTTTATTCACTGCGCCATGTGTCCTTGAGGGGTTAAGGCAGTGGATAACTTGGAGAAGGGAATTAACAGGAGATAACTGATAACTGACATTCATTAAACATGGCACGTAGGACTAGAACAGTCTACCCCAGTGAACGAAATAAAGGGTTCAGTTCGACATTCCAACCACCTGAAGAAGGCCAGAGCATACAACGGCCGAAACGTTGTAATAAATGTGGCAACAAAGATGAGGACAATAGTCTGAATAATGTAAATAGTGTTTTCTTAATTCGATTTAAGTTTTTTTTAGATTTTTATTCATAAAGACTCTGCAATTTTATTTAAAGCCATATTCTCAAGTTTGAGCTTTATTTAGGCTTAAAATATTCAAATTTAAAAAAATTAGGTTATGTTTACAGTTTTGTAATCATTTCTCTATGAAAACGGGGTCCAAATCTCGCCATCCTAAGTATGACAATAAACTACATTCATCAGCAAGGCTTCTGATCAGGAGATATCGAGGAACGTGGAACTACACCTTAATTACTGATGTTCCCAGGTATAACCTGACCTTGGGTGGTAGCACCTGTTAGGGTCCCAACTATGGGCAAATAGTTAACCTATAAACTGGAGTCAAAACACTATGAAAGTATAAAAAACATATTTTTATCATTAAAATACCAGCAATACATTTTTGAAAGAAAAAAAATACCAGTAATACACTTGACTCATTACAAAAATACATCAATAAAACCTCATCCAGAAACTGATCTATTACAAAGAATACATATTTTATTCATACGCATACATTGTATAGCATGGCTAACTATGTAATTAGATCTCAGATATTGACAAACTGAGATAGATAGATAGATATGGATAAACTGAGATAGATAGATAGATAGATAGATAGATAGATAGATAGATAGATAGTGATGTGGGACCAAAGTTGGGACCAAAGAAGGAAAACACGGAACACGGATTAGATGTAAGAAAGATATATTAACAACAGGTTACAGAGATAGTGTAAGCGGAGCTTACTATATGTTAGTGTCCAATACTGGTAGTCATACGCGGCTCTCACTGTCTCTCTATCTCTCAGACTCTCTGTGTCTAG